ACATTCCAAGTACAACATTGGAGTCGGATATTCTCCACGAAAGACATGATGGTGCGAGCCTGCTAAGCGAGGCAAACTACATCTAGCAACTAAACAAGCAAAAAGGTAGTGGTATGAATCTCATATGAAACACGTGAACGACATTTATGAATAGTTAGAACGAACGTCCTAGAGCGGCAACACACGTTATATGATGGATAGATAAGGTGCAACGTGCAGGGCGGGTGGAACACGACTGCAGATGAAAACATACGTCAGTGGTCGGACGGACGGCGAGATCATGCGCAGCGAAATATGGACTTACAGCACTACTGGTACATTTTATTGTCTTCTGAGCTTCAGACATTTGAAGTGGGGGGTAAATCTGGAACCAAGTAGTGCATCGGCCGTGCATCGCCAAAGCTCGTCTTGTGGGTCAGCTGCGGGACGTTGAAGGGCTTGGACGCGAGATCTTCCTTCGAGCGAGACGGCGTCGGACCCCGCATAGGTGTACTCGAGCCGGTGGAGTCCCTGCTGGACTGTGACGGTCGCGAGGGCGCCAGGGAAGCGGTTGCAGCGACGGTGGTGCTAGAGCGGGATGCCCTAGGACCGTCGACAGCACCGAAAGCTGTGGCATCGTAGGCCGGGACAGGTTTACGCGAGGGATTGCGGCGCACACTCGCCGAGGACGTGCGCTGCATGGGCTCCGCCGAAAATGGTGTTACAGGGGTCTGCGGCGTAGCCGGAAAAGTTCTGGACAAGCGAGGAGGCGTGTCTGGTTCACTCCTATCGTCAGGGCGATGCCGCGCAGGAGGGGGGCTGGGCAGGGCCGACACTGCATTCGTGTTGAGCCTCTCCAATGCGACGGCGCGGGCACTGAAGTCTGTAGAGGGCTTGCGACCGCGGCGGAAAGAGCCATTGACGTCGGGACTGGGCAGGCTGCCGTACGGGAGTGAGGGAACGGGTTCGACGTACACCGATCCCCGGGTTGGGCTCACTTTGATCTCTTCGCCGAGAGACTCGATATCTTCTTCTGTCCCTCCTGAATCGTTCCTCTGTTCAGTGTGGCTGGGGCGAGGAGAGGCAACGTTGCCCAGTGAGTCAGCCTGTTCCCTGGTGAGCATCTGCATTCCTGACGCCCGTTTGGCCCCCCTCGGACCGCCATCCATGGTCGAGTCGCGCGATGAGAGCCCGTTCCATTTCCCATCATTCCCACGAGAATCGTACTCTGCGAGTGAACGGCGGCGAGATGGACTGGGGGCTTGCCGGCTGATGCGAAGATAATATAACAGACCTCCGATGACCAAAAGCAAAAAGATGACGCCTCCAATGACACCCCCTACTATGGCACCAGTGTGATTGCTTGAGGAGGATGCCAAAGCTGCTCCAGCCGTCTGAGTAGTGCTAGAGCTAGAAGACGTAGTCGAGGACATAGTAAGGGGAAGTGAGGTAGTGGGCAAAGCTGAACTTGTCACCAGGCTATTTGTCTGCGTTGATGAGGAAGGCGTAGCTGCTGAAGAAGAGGTCGAAGACAAGATAGGTGACGTAGAAGACGCGGGTGTGGACGAGGACGTGGGCGTCAACGAAGACGACGTACTCGTAGTAGACGACGAAGTAATAGATGTAGACGAAGGTAAGGGCCCGAGTGAAGTAGGCGATGCAGACGTCGTGGCCGAAGTACGAGAGATCGACAGGATGCTCAGCGGGAGGTGCGATAACGAGAATGCAGTCGAGTGTGACGACTGATAAATAGAGCCAGGAAGAGTCCCTGAGAGGGGTGCCCTGCGGATTGGGAAGGCAGCACGACCCCTAAATGATCCTGACACCATGATGAAGCCCAAGTCAGCTTAGGATCATTCAGGATGGTGGGGGGCTGTGCACACCGCGGGCCACAGCGAGGGGAAGACGACCGCACGGAGGAAAGCATTGCTCACCTGGATGGTGGCCTTAATGGCCCAGGGGGAAAGCGCGGCCGATGGTGACACGGACCGATATCACTGCACAAGCACCGTGCGCAGGTCACCAGGGATGGGCCGGTCGCACTCCAGCAGCCACGATTCCACAACGAACGCTCGACGAACAGATAACTCCCACGATCTGTATATAGGCGCTCAACCCTGCCTGCCCTGAAGTGATGGCCTTCAATATATCCACATGGCGAACTGTACAAGGTCAACAACACAGTGTTACTTGTTGCAGAACTCAAGAAGGAATGCAGGAACAAGGCAAAGTGGGGATATAAATTAATATGCAGTGGGTGATTCGTATGCTAAATGTAGAACGCGTGGATGAACGAAGCAGCGGGGCGGGGGAGTCGCGAGGTGAGAACAGTGAGCACCCACGTTACCATCCCGCACCTTTCCGCCCCAGATAGTGGGACAACCAGTGATGCCTGACTGATAGTTTGCGGCTATTGGTCGCTAGCCCGACCTTGCGAATTCTTGCTAGCCTATGCGCGAGGCATTAATGATCAACATCACGGGTGCAGAACCTTAAATCGCACCGTCGGAGACCAGTCCAAGAAAACACCAGCGCAATAACGACGGAAAAGACTGACATGATCGCAAAAGCGTATGTATTGTCCTCAATGTGGCTTTTCAACTGGGGAGATATATGAGCGTCGTTCCGACTATGGCAAGATTCTCGCCACTTACATTCATACCGAACATGCCCGCGACGAGGGTTCCAATCCCGATACCCATCGTCCATATGGATACCTACGTCCAAGCGTGAACGTCAATGGCAACCCGCAAAAGCAAAGAGCCCTACCTTGAGGTCAAGCGCAAGTAGGGCATTGCGATTAGAATCTAATACGAGTTCCACAATTTCTTGCGTCGATTGCACATTTGTCTGCGTACAGATCAGCTGCTACCAACTCACCTGAAAAATAAAATACCATACCTGCATATTTTCTGCCTCGTTGACAATCTCCTCTACCTGCTTGGAGAAGGACTCCAAGAGAACTTCCAACTCTTCGTGGTCGTTGAGTTTGTGCACCTCACCCCGCTGTTTGTCACTGAGATACATGGCTGCGAGATCCTCATCTGACATGATAGTGGTAAACAGCTATCTTGCCCGCAGTAGTTTTATCATACCCTGTTCAAGAACCTCTTCTAGTGCTTCCTGCACCTGAACATGGGATCGTAAATCAGATGAACGGCTAGAATGTGCAGACATTTTTCACACCAGCTTAGCTCGATTCTGGAAAGCTGCCAATCGCCTAGAATAATGCAATAGGCGCTTGAAGCGATCATGGTCAATGTCATCTTCAAGCTCAGCGAGAAGTCCCCCAACGAGGTTGCGTATGAAGACCATCTCAGCTTCTAACGCGCTTAGTACTGATAATAAAACAGATTCAAGTGCTCTGTGCAGGCGATAAGCGCCTGAAACTGGTAAGAGGCCGTTCTACATATTCCAAACTACGCAAGATATACTCACCGGAACTCGTACGGTAGTCCGGGCGACTTTACTTTGAGGTTGTGCTGTATATTCGGTTGGTGCAGCCGATAAACGTGCGCGACAATACACTCGCCTCTAAATGATATAGGAAAACAGAATGGAGTCTGGAGTTTGCAGATCCGTATGTGTCGAACAGCACCACTGCGTTGGCTTTGATTAGTGCACGAATGTGCAGGATGTTTACCTAGAATGGGCGATCAGAAAAGCAGGAGGAACAAACGTTCCCGACTGAAATGACTACGTACAAGAATCGCTTCCTTCCGCACGAGAATAGTTGGTACAAGGTTCGGTATCCTGGAATCAATTTTTCGCAGATCACGGGGCTGTCTCCTGACCGCTTAGTAGCGCATGCACCTAGCCACGGGCCTCGCTTACGTTCAAACGGTGTTCTGCACAGAGGTCGGTTTTCCTGAACTGGCCGGAAATTGTTTTCACGTTCCCTGTAGTAATACGATTGGTGAAAACCTTTATGCGCCGCACATTCGACCAGACAAACCGTCAGCATCTAGTATGGTGCCTGTGTCGTGTCAATATTTTGACATGTATATGAAACCACATGAACACGTACATCTAAGCATGAGGTCGGTCGGCTGCCGCCCTCTCATGGCTTTCTCCAGTATGGCGACCTTCGCTGCCTCCTCGTGTCCGTCCGATGGTTCTGTGTCCGTTTCGGTGGGTCGTAGGGTCAGTTTAGGAAGCCACGATAATTGGCGAGTTCCAGGACAAGTCAAGAGTAGTACACATGGCTGTCTGCGAGAAAGCTGCGAAACACCACGGCGGGGAGGTTGAATAAGAACTCCTCCAGAGTCCGCACTTCGAGAATATGCGCGTAGAGAGGCGCGAAACGAGGCCCTTACATGGCTCTCTGCCGCTAGCCACAGCGCCGTATGCATACGCAAGAAATAGAAGCCACCAAGCGATTCCCAAGTCGAGGGATCGAGGTTTCCGAACGACTACCACTGGTCTGCCGTGGATTGATTTCAGTTCTTGAAGATGTAGAAACGAAACGGTGTTAAGCTCGAAGCGCGCGTGTCTCGTTCGCGTCGCGCCCTAGCGGCTTATGTCATGGCCTCGGCACCGCGGGCCGGGTCTACTCCATTGCCGACGAGCCGTCCAAGTTCAGAGTGGCTGCGACTCGGATGGTGGGGCATATTGAAACAAAATGCTCGGCAGTAATGTGAGCATCTCAGGCAATAACTGCTAGTAACAGAGACACCCTATTGGCGACCTTCTATTTGTCGCCGCTACGATCCTGCAACACGCTCATCACAGAAAAAGCGGACATACTCCCAATCTACATCGATAATGAATGGCATTCAGCCACCGGACATCCACGCTGCTCAAGAGGACTGGGACTAGCTATACCTATACTCAAGTATGAGTAACAGGGAGGACATCGTCCCAGTTAAAACTCGGCTCAGAGGTATTCAATGCCGCATGCGATTCCGGCAGCCGCACGTTTTCCTCCAGTAATACTATAGTCACGCGCATGGGGACATGTGATGTGGACTCGTTCCCCGCCCAATGCAGCGGCGAACGCATGTCCTGGACGGCTCATGATATTTAGGCTACCTCGAGAGCTAGACCGGCAGAGATGTCGCTAGTGATCAAGCGCCTCCTTGTTCGGCAAAAATCCCGTCGGTGAGCTATAAGTACCGAAATGTTAGTACCCTCCTCTGTCGCATCTTCTTAGGCTTCTCGATTGACTTCGGATTCGGACAGAGTACATGAGTACCATGCCCGAGACCTGACGTTTTGTCTCCACACCTTCGCCCAAAACCATGCACGAGATTGGCAGACTTATGCAGGCTGCGGCTGCACTATCTCACCTTCTACGGGCCATTGAGGTCCCTCACGCATTCTACGGAAGTATGTTGACTGCAGTCCTGTCCAGTGCCTCTCATGCCGATGTGGGTCTCGTCCTGAGCAATCGCGCGTGATTTTGCTGATCTATTGTAGGAGATTTTCTGCATAGTTGATGGAGGTGCTACTCACCCATTTCGTCGAGTACGACAGGCCTGCGCGGGGAGCGAAGATTTCAAAACAGTGGTTTCTCCATGGACTAGTAGGTGGATAACTCTGATTTACTGCAATACCGCAGCATATATTGATTGAGCAACAGATTACATGCCACATACCATCGATTTATCCCAGCTATCGACGTAAGTGTAACTCAAAATGCCTCGAGACGATATTGCTGAACAGTCAGGACCACAGATCGAGATCTTACCGGCGGGAGAAGAGGGTCCACGTCGCCTTGATTCAACGACCGTCATGACTATCAGGACAGTCCCGTTTCTGACAATTTCAGAATTCATTAGAGCAAAATTAAAAGCTTGGACAATGTAAGCCGTCTCGCCTGTCGTTAGATCTGCTCCATGTACCAATTTCTTTCGCAGTCGACGAGTAGAGCACGACGCGCACGACATCGCATTTGCTATCAACCGCTATTGGAACAGAGTAGATTTCAACCGAATCCCAGAGCAAGAGATGAATGAGTTCGTAATTCAGCACCGAGCCGCAGAATCTGGCTGGATAGAACTCAAGCGAAAATATGGGATGTGAGTCATTCCAACAGAGCCTGCCCCTGGGAAGGTCCCGTAACAGAGTTGGCATCGCCCTACTCTTCTATTAGGTCATAATCCACGCTTCGAATCGTGGTAGACTACCGAAGTCGAAAAGCGCCGCGTTGGAGCCATGGCGCAAGGGAGGCTAGAAGAATTCTGCAGATTATGTGGACGCTTTTGCAGTGTGTATCAAACAACTTCATACATCATCATCATCAGTAACACCTCCAGGGTGCCGGGTGATCGACCACAACAAGTCGAGGTCATTCAAGATAAACGTCCCGTACTTGAAAGCGTACCCCATTTCGCATGAAGTAGGTTGCTTCCAGAAGCGACTAGAGGGTTCTCGGCCAGCATATTGCTAGCTAGATGTTCCTGTGCAGCGAGAGCTCTAGACGCTAATTGAGTCTGAGCACAATCACGCGATATGTAAGTGTATCAGGATGTTCCGGATGAAGAAAGATACTACCAACACCCACAGAACTTTACGTGGAGCGCCTATGTTGGCCGGGAGGCGATCTATGGGCGTATCAAGTAAGGGGTATCCGGACAGGATGGATCATATATGAGTGACCTGGTGACCTCGAATTCTCCCACCCACGCGCTTCTGACAAATTAGACGTTGCGATGAGTTTGACTCTATCGGTGAGCCCATCTCGCTGGGTGCATCAGATAAGAGGTGGTGGAGCGATTAAAACTTGCCTCATGGCAACGGAAGATGACTTGATTTGAAAGCTTGAGTACTTATCCGCAACCTCGCATCAGGATTTCCAGAAGCGAACGGCATAAGGGCGAAAACATACGTGAAATTTTTTGCTTCGCTTCAATGCAATTATATTTTCTGTACATCCTGGAGCTACTATCATTGCACCAGTAATGCAACTTTTTTAGTATCTGGGCTTCCTATAGCGTAAATCTTATTGGAATGTCTCGGAGTTTTTACCAGTCGATGCAGAATGTTTGAAAGTACATACATGAATTTTGTAGGCTCAGTATGGCAAGAATTGAACAATACCGAGAGCAAAATAAATTGCAGCAGTAGTGCAATTTTTCTCCGAGGCATGTCACGTCAACCGTCACAATGCCGCGCATGCCGTTTTCTTTGTCCGCCCGGCGTTCAGTCCCAGTGAGAATCGACATGAATTAAAATGAGAAACTGTGTCACTCAATGAGAAAAAATGAGATAAGCCGAATCAGCACAAATTACCTAATTCAGCTTTCTTCACGCGTTTTCAACGCGATTCGTTGAGTGACCCAATTTCTCGATTTAATTAGTGTCACTTTCCACTGGGAACGTTCAGCGGCTGGACTGCGAAGCTATGCGAAGTACGCCACCACTACCATCAGCCAAGTCAAGATTCACGAGGCCGATTGTGGCTAAATGTCACAGATTTGAGTCACTACCATTTGACACAGGATTTAGGAGGGGTTTGCTGTGCAGATTATTCTGGAGAAAGTAGAATAAAGGTGTGCATGTTCATTACATGGCCATGGTGAGTTATTGTGTCAATCAGACATGGCAATCACCCACTCAAGGCCACTCTTGGTTGAGATGTAGTCTACACTTGTGAGGCATTCAAGTTGCTCTTGTATTTTTCATTTGTATGATAACTACACAATAGTCATCATACTTGTATTTTGTACACTACATGATTTATTGAATTTTTTAGAGGGGGAGGAGCAGCTGTAAGTTCAGTAATTGCACTACTGTTGTGATTGCATTGCTGGTGCAATGATAGTAGCTACACCTTCTGATGTAAGTGTTCACTCACAATATCCAAAGCACACATGGAAGTGTATTACCTTGGGACTGCAAACTTTGCATTTGAGGTATGTTTGCCCACTTCAGTAGGTTTATTCTTCTGCTCTGATTCACTGCAATGGCCTTACTGGCTGGCAGGCCCACTGGTGAGTTTGAGAGAAGTCACAGTGACTCAGTGGTAGATCTATCTAATCAGCATGACCATGACAAACAGAGGATCATAACGATAGTCACACCACGATACTGATTCTGAAGACCGTCACGCTCATTCATGGAGATGTGATCACGTGGAGTACGCGTACTCTTCGACAGGGCCCGTACGATCCTAAGACAGACCTCACCGCATTCGTACTTGTAAATCGTTTTATTCACCAATCATGCCCGTCGCCGTACAAGCTTCAGGACACCCCGGAGGCATACGGGCCTACTATCAGGCGAAGATAGAGTCTGCGGAGCTGGACATCAACCAGAAGACACAGAACCTACGACGGTTAGAGGCGCAACGGAACGCGCTCAACGCTCGAGGTATGTTGTCCTGTTAGCGTCATACAACTTTTTCTCACATGGGGAATTAAGTTCGGCTTCTGCGCGAGGAGCTTCAGCTCCTGCATGAGCCAGGTAGTTATGTGGGCGAGGTGGTCAAGGTTATGGGAAAGAACAAAGTCCTCGTAAAAGTGCAGCCCGAGGGCAAATACAGTAAGCTCTTTTTCGTTTTTTCACATGCTGCATTCTTCCGTGTATAAATTTCTCCTTTTATAGTTGTTGACTTTGATTCTGAGATCGACGTCGCCTCACTGAAGGCGACTCTGCGCGTTGCTCTTCGCTCGGATTCCTATACCATTCACAAGATTCTCCCTAACAAGGTCGACCCTCTCGTATCTCTCATGATGGTGGAGAAGGTTCCCGACAGCACATACGAGATGGTTGGCGGTCTCGACAAACAAATCAAGGAAATTAAAGAAGTCATCGAGCTGCCTGTAAAGCACCCAGAGCTCTTCGAGTCGCTCGGTATTGCACAACCAAAAGGTGTATTGCTATATGGACCCCCAGGAACGGGGAAGACATTGCTTGCACGTGCTGTGGCACATCACACAGACTGCAAGTTCATTCGAGTGTCGGGTTCGGAACTTGTGCAGAAGTATATTGGTGAGGGTAGTCGCATGGTTCGGGAGCTTTTCGTGATGGCAAGAGAACACGCGCCGAGTATCATATTCATGGATGAGATTGATTCCATCGGCAGTTCAAGAGGGGAAAGTGGCTCTGGTGGTGGTGATTCCGAGGTGCAGCGGACGATGCTAGAGCTTCTCAACCAACTCGACGGTTTTGAACCGACGAAGAACATTAAAGTCATCATGGCAACAAACCGCATAGGTTTGTGACGAATTTCGCTATACTATCGACATTCTCACCCCCTCGATCAGACATTCTGGATTCCGCGCTACTCCGACCGGGTCGCATCGATCGAAAGATTGAATTCCCTCCGCCGGGTCCAGAGGCCAGAGTCGCCATTTTAAGAATTCATTCTCGCAAGGTACGCATCATTAGCCCCTTCATTACTGTTCTAGCTCAATGCCACTTAGATGTCGTTGCAACGGGGAATCAATCTACGCGCTCTTGCAGAGAAGATGGGTCAGTGTTCGGGCGCGGAGGTTCGTGGTATTTGCACCGAAGCCGGTATGTTTAAGCAATGTTCATTTATTTGATGGCTGTAATTCATGATATATATACGCTGCTTGTAGGGATGTATGCGCTGCGAGAACGGCGACAGCACGTTACACAGGAGGATTTCGAGTTTGCTGTCGCGAAGGTCGGTTTACTTAATCTTCTCTACCTGCCTGTTGCAGCCAACACGCTTGATTCGACAGGTATTGAAGAAGAATCAGGAAGGAAACACTTCAGTCAACAAACTGTTCTCTTGAGTCGCCCACATCCTTTCAGTATTTAGTATCAGAGATTCTGCCAAGCTCGCGAGTCTAGAGAGGAATTGTTTCAAGTATCTCATCCGGCTTCGCCTGTGAGGCCTTGCATTCACTTGAGTTGCTTGATACCATGCGTCCGCTCTTGCTCGTGGAGATTGCCAAAATCATCTGTAACTTGCTTTGTTCGGCTCGTCTCATTTTCGTAACGGTCGTACCCTGAGGCTGGTAGATGGTGTTGGACCTTGTATTCTCGTTGTATGCGATGGCCAGATCCTACAACGTACATTCGATGCGTGGCCGATAGAGAATTTTGGTCCGCACGAACCATGCGAGCTAATCCCCCCCCCTTCCACTGGAAATTTGGTAAAATTTCCTTGCTTGCCGTGTTTGGGCATTCGCACGCAACGAGGCTCGGATCTGGTAGAGACGTGCAACGTGCCCATCCGGCGCTCTAATTTTGCATTAAAAGCAAATCAGTCGTCTTCACAGGTAGGGTTTGACCTTTGTCTCTAGTCTTCATCATGGTCGTCGTCTGTTCATCTCTCCTAGCAACTGGCTCCTGCACGCTCGAAGGATGCCAATGCAATCACGACGTACACATTTGCAGGCCATGTGGCGTGGTCTGTTACAGCATCCGTGTTTATCAAGCTCATCTCTCAGGGCAGCGACATCGAGGTGTTCAATCTGGTCGCGGCACACTCCTTCACTGTTCTGTTTGCGTTATCAACCTGTCTGCACATGATTGGGAACCCCATATTCGGGGCCAGCGCCACAGCAGGAAAGCGATACAAGGGGGCATTCCCGCCGAAGTTGAGCCTGAAGAGGCAGTTACAAGGCCTGGCGGTGTTATGTGTAACAGTTGTCATATCGGTGTTCCGAAGGCAAAGTGGGCAGCTCACCAAAGCTCTCGTTCTCATCTGAAAAAGTTGCTTTTCGCGAACTATGAAGCCGCATTTGACGAGGCTGAGAAGGACAAACATGGTGTTGTCGTCTCGCATGGTCAGGAAGGTATAGATTTCGGCATTGTGGAGGTTCCAAATGCGGAACGGGGGGTGGACATACTATTGGATATCAGGAACACGGTGCCACTCTCGAAAATCAGGCTTGTTGAGGCTAAGCTGTCTTCACAGCCTCGCCGTGGGGTATCTCCGTGAGCGAACTTAGTATACAGATGATATTTGGCTCACTTCTCCCAGTTTCTCAGCAACTCTTGACATCAACCGGGACGTGGTGTCTGGACGCGTGATTCATGTCTGCGTCACGTTCCGGCACAACAATCGAGGGCGTTACCAGAATCGCATTGAGCTCGTGTTTGAAGATATAAACCTTCAGCAGCTTTTCGTCATTGTTCGCTCAATTACTGCTATTGTCGGTAGTCAAGCCGATTACGATAAGCTGAAGCCTACGGCTCCATATGTTCCGCGGAAGCGGACAGCTAGAAATCAAGAAAAGGAAATCATACCAGGAGTACCACCACCTGCTCTCAAAGCTATTCCATATGTTGTGAAGTTGCCGATAGCAGGGATTCCGCCAAGGATTGTCACCGCACTCACGCAAAAGTCGCTATCTCAAATCGTCAATTTCTTTCGAAATTCTATTCTACCGCTTACACTGGACAGTTCGACGCATGGCCGGCATTTCAAAACTCTCCTGTGGGTAGAAGAGCATCGCATGGAGTAAACGGATAACTTCATTGTTTATGCAAACTTATGAGCTCACGATCATAGACATGACTTACAGGTATATGATATCCTTGACGCGAGCCTAACTCGCCACAATCAATACTATTAGTAAGCGCATGGTTCCTCGTATACTGAATCTCACTGATACATGACTTAGTCTTACTGTCCCGGGATTAGCGGAGAAGCGCCCGAGCGTCTTAACGGGTGCGTGTTAGAAATTTTAGTGATGAGAGTTTTAGAACTTACATGCCTCAAGGCGATATAATTCTGGTGCAGCCGCATGGGGCCGATCGAGGCCGATGGTTTGAAGGACATGTGCATGTTGTGCGCAAAGAAGAGGTTGGACTTTGCTTCCACGGATCATTTAGTTACAAAACTGGCCAGCTATACAGTGTCCGTTTCAGACTAAACAGAATCCCCTTACGGCGTCAGCACCAGGCGTTAGACACTGCATATACTCCGGACAGATTGCTCTTCCCTACTCAGGAACATCTTGCGTTGATGATGGCGCCCGTATCCTCTGAAGATGTCCGCCCATTCATTCTTAATCGACTCATTCTAACAAACCTGGCTCAACTGGAAGCGGTTACTTCAATTACCCATTTGGCTCCGGGATCTCCGCCGTTCGTAGTTTTTGGTCCGTGAGTACTTTGATCAGGTGGTTCATGCCTGAAAAGCCCTGATTATTCCTATCAGGCCAGGTACTGGAAAGACGATTACGATTGTGGAAGGAATTCGACAGCTATTGCGTACAAATCCACGAGCTCGCATTTTGGCTTGCGCACCCAGCAATAGCGCTGCGGACCTCATCGCCACTCGTCTTGGCTCATTGAGCCCTGTCGAGATGTTCAGATTCTATGCGCCGTGCAGGTATGAGAATCAGATTCCGGACTCACTCCTCCCTTATACGTATAAATCGACAACATCGTCGCACTTCTCGGTACCTCCACTCGCAGTCCTGAAACGATACCGTGTCATTGTGTCCACATGCGTTTCTGCTTCATTCGCGCACGGAATCGGAATGCCTCGCGGTCACTTCACCCATGTATTTGTCGATGAAGCAGGCCAGGCCACCGAACCCGAAGTGATGATAGCGTTGAGGACCATGGCTGACCATCAGACTAACGTTGTATTGTCTGGAGATCCGAAGCAATTGGGTCCAATCATTCGCTCAACCGTTGCAAGAGAATTGGGGTTCGAAACCAGCTTCATAGAACGACTCATGGAGCGAGAAGCCTATGACACGCTAACATATCATGGTATCTCGTGAGCTGTCTAGACATGCGCGCCTTCGCCTGGTCTGAAGTCAGATTGTAGGGTCGTCAAACTTGTCCAAAATTTCAGATCGCATCGCGCCATCTTATCCTTCCCCAACGAAAAATTTTACCGGAATGAGCTGCGCCCATGTGGTACCCCGAACGTCATCAATTTCTTCTTAGGATCTCCCATTCTTGTGAATAAAAAATTCCCCATCGTCGTTCATGCTATATCTGGTAAAGATGATCGCGAGGCATCATCGCCCTCCTTTTTCAATGCCGATGAAGCCATCCAAGTAAAGGCTTATGTAGAAGCCCTCCGCTCCGATCGACGATTCCGTATCAGTGCGTCGAAGGCATTGTTAGTTTTGGTCATTACAGAGCTGATATACGTGTTCTAGCTGATGACGATATTGGAATTATTGCACCCTACCATGCACAATGCCAGAAAATTCGAGCGGTGCTAAGGGGAGTCGCGGATGGAATTAAGGTAGGAAGCGTCGAAGAATTCCAAGGACAGGTGGGTAGATAATGCGGTTGCAAATACGTTTTTATTTATGTTCACCCTGCAGGAACGGCTTGTGATTATTATCTCGACCGTCCGCTCCACTCAAGAATTTGTCGAGTACGACCTCAAGCACACGCTTGGATTTGTTGCCAGTCCTCGCAGATTCAATGGTAACTACACGCTGTCACTTCATTAGGTCTCCATTGAGTTAATTCTAACTTTCCGTAGTCGCTGTCACCCGTGCCAAGGCCCTTCTTATCGTCGTCGGTGATCCTGAGGTACTCGCGCTGGACCCGCTTTGGCGCTCCTTCCTCAACTACATCTACGATAATGGAGGGTGGACTGGTAATGAGCCCACGTGGGACACAAACGCCGCCGTAAGTATCAACGGGGGGTATGATCACGAACGTCAAGACTCGGCGCTGGGCGACATGAATGAGTTCGCCCGTCGGATGGAGCTGCTTACAATCAGCGGAATTTCGAATACCGTTCCAGATGACGGAGATGACGATGTGGATATCAATGTCGACAGACCTTGGAGGGAAGTTGAGTAGTCGTCTCAGTTGGGCTGAAGATTTCTTGTTTCACAAGCCTAGAGTTTTGACTGCGATGTACGATACTGAGGCAATTGTTATGCTGTAGTGGACCCAATACGTGATGTGGACGAAGGGATATGAGTATGTTTATGCCTGCGTCAGGTATAGCAGTGCTTCAATATAAAGCCGTCCAGTTCGGTCGCTCTTAAACATCCGTAATCTTAAGTTACAAACTCCATTTTTCGTCTCTATCGCTATTATTAGAGCACGCAGGCGTTGCTATTTATTGACATCATCGATGATCGATGATCCTTGGGCTTTTCCCTCGACCTCATGTCGCAGACTTCTTGACTAGAGCTATCTTGGAGGTTGCTGATGAGGGGAGGAACCCCGGTCAAGCCGCTGTGGTAGAAAATGCGGCGATGATCAGGTTTGCGTAGCGCGTGGGGGTGGGCGTCGGAGATGAGGAGGTTAATGAACAATGTTTCGAAGAGTATGATATGAATGCGGTTCAAACAGTTAGATTTGATACGAGCTTTTCTCGGATCCTGGGTAAAAAGACGGGAGTTGATATCGGCGCCATAAGTTAACAAGCAAACATGCTTGTGAATTGCAGATGCCATTAACGGCAGTGCGAAATCTTGACAATCACAGTGATGTTCCGTTTCATCAGTGATGTGCAGTGCCGGCGGACTAAGGCTAGTACCATTGATTCATGGAGGCAAACAAGAAGATCTTATTAGGTTACACTTGTTCGATGACTGCAACAAGCTGATGAATCAATAATGATACTAAGTTTGGACGAGATGTTTATGGGTATCATCAACATGTGCAAGGTGCACTAGATTCCATTAATGAAGAGTTTAGACGGTAAGGTAATTCTGCGAAAGCACATCGTTTAGAAATGATTCAACGGTAATATTGTCGCCTAAACAACTGACCGAAGCCATCTTGGGACTAAAGTCGACCGTATCGTGCTTGAATTTGCCATCCACTGATGGCGTCAGGTCAAGCATCATCATAGCCTGAATCGTACTATGAGCATTGTGGTGAATAATATATCAATTTTCCTAACCTGTGAAGGAGGGTAGTCTTCAGCAGCGCCTACTGTTCCGCGCACAGGAATAGTGGAAATGCTTCGTCTACTAGGCGATACTCCCTGCCATGGCTCTTCCGACCCTTTCACAAATTCCCTTGAGTTCAAGTTAGCGAGTAGAACGCTCACGTATAGCGAGCAGAGAGGAAATTCGAAAATGGTGTAGTACAATTGCTCTTGATACGCAGCCATCTGCGGATACAATTAAAAAAATTCCAGAAAAGCACGACAAGACAAAGCTCACAAGGCAAAAGTCAGCAGTAGCAACAATGGCGGTCCATATTCCTGTGCTGACGGTCAATGAGATGAGACGGAAATACATCTTTCTTGAGCTGCCAACCGACGGTGTTAGTTTAATTGCCAAGCTTCCAAAGTAGAACAATGGCGTGTACCTGGGTATCTTAGGTATACCCTGCTTCATGAGATAGTATGACATTATAACCGCAATGAGGATGTCGATGACTGCGCTGCATGCCCGCAGGGATGTATTCAGAGCCTGTCAAAGTCTTAGAGTGTTGATAGCACGAAGCGCCTCCAACTACTTACCATTATAGGATGCGAGTACACTTCAGCCATTGTGAAATTTCTATTCCTATAGACAAAAATATCTGCGACGTGATCAGGGCCACGGAATATACACATACAAGAGAATATTGAAAGCTTCACACAGAATTGTATCAATTACATAGTGTTTTGACGGTGATATTTATTGCACGTACGAATGGACTGTACTATGAACGGTGAATCAGTCTCAGATAATTATATTCTGGGTAGTGTGCACTCACTTATTTGATACAGAGACGCAGATGCCTAGTTCGCGTTGTTACAAGATGTGGTACGCATATTGGAGAAATATCTTACAATTATGGCCGGAAAGAGCCACTTCCTGCCACTAACTAGATATATAGTTAAGTAGCCATATGGAGAGGCTGAAAAAAATCAAAGCTCACATAGATAAATACGATATAGGTAAAAGGATTGAACGCCCACGGCGACGATACCCTGTATTTCCGTTCTAGACGTCAGGAAAGGGATACAACCTAAATACTGAAGACAACTAACAGATATCCAGATGTGTTGCTACATTCGTTGATTCAAAAGCTTTAGTAAGCAAAGAAGCTGGGATAACGAATTAGACCAACTATGATCCCCCTGCGTTGACTAGATCAGCAGGCAGATTTACTTGTCGCATGGCGGAAAAAACGCACACTGGCACCTCAGACAGTGCTTCCGCCACTCCCCATTTCGAAATTAAGACGGGCCACACTGCGTGTACTGGTACTATGTCATCTCAATCATAAGCAGAAATGAATATCACGAACAAGATTCTAGAAGTAAAATCTGGTTTACTGTATCCACAGTCCTGCACAGGTGTCACGATGAGAGGTGCAAAATGTCTTAAGCCACTTACCAGAGGAAGGCCACCTACAAACATGATTGACGAGTAGATATTAGCAACTTGTCTGTCGGGCGAGTGAATGACTAACGAGAATTTTCTGCCCAAGACGATCAGATCCATATCTGTTAGAAAATTGGATCATAAATGTTAGGTTAGGTTCGCTCGAACAGATTTTACCTGTAGAAATATAGAAACCTGAACAAATTTCATAATCAGGATTCTATCGAGATGTAAAAAGCATGAAACTTGCCCTTGCAAGGAAGTCATCCCCCATAATGCGCAAGACAAAAAACTTCCTATCAGCATTGGACCATAAGTTCCAGACAGATCAGCCATAGTGAAAGAGCCTGAGGTTGAATCGGTAGGTGGAGTGGGGCGTGCTTGCCCATAGCAACAACCGCTTTTCTATACGAAATCTATAATTCCCAAGAGAAAAAAGACGCTGCACTCGGCGGCCGCACAAGGGTCACTTCTATGTCTGGACCGTGGAAATCTGGAATCCACTGCGCACCCGACTCGGATACCTATTCTGTTGGCTACCAACTGATACGGGTGAGCTGTCAGCTGAGAAGAGCAGGGATTTCTATCAGTGAGAACACTGGTTCTATTCTGTGGCGCATCTGCTCACCTAAATCGGATTCGAAGAAAATTGTACGCTGTCTCACGCTGAGGTTCCGTCGCTAAACGATATGACCAACAAGGGATAGACCCCAACGCTCACACGCTGCAAGACCTTGAGGATGCCGCTCTTGTGGGATAACCGATTGACGAGGATATTGCACTTGAGGTGCAGAAGGGAAGCTCCGTGCGCTTGTAGTGGCTGATGGTTTGATCATCGGAGAGCAGCGATGTGGGCGGACGTGACATAACTTCATGAGACACCTAGTCAAAGGCAACGCATCCAGGGTTTAGGAAGCTGCAGATAAGATATCTTCATGAGCCACGCTATAGGATCTCACGATGTCTGAGTCTCACGGTACCGATGGCCTCTTGGTATTTCGTCGGATTCTTCTCGGCAGCAGAGTGCGGCACTACTCGAACTGTTCGCGAAGAACAGTTAACTAAAAACTGTCGGTCCTCCGTGGTTTGACCGCCCAGCAGAAGGCACCAGCTCATGTGGGGAGAGGTAAAGACCTCTTGCGCACTTCACATACGGTTGCAGCTGGCTACTACCGGCATACATGTGGCGTTTGAAGGCGAGGGGAGCTGGGGTTTAGCTATCAGCAGCTCTATCGGTCATTTTAATGACCAGCACGCAGAGGAGACCCATCATGCCAAGTGTGGGTTCAACATGCACCACTTCGTCCGAGGGAGTGCTATGAGAAATAAGCCGAAGGTGCGAATCAATCACAAGAATATCAATGTGAATCAGGGACGCTTCTAAGCAATGACACATTGGATAGACAAGACGATGATCGTGAGCGATCAACGGTGCTTATGTTAAGTTGAATAAAGCAAGCGATCGTTCATGATCTGGCTGAACATCTGCAAAGCAGCTTCGCCCCGGCTGAGACTTCTGTATCCGTAGGCAGCGACCTCATGGCCACTATTCGCAAGGAATTTAGCGTGAGGAATAGCAGCAGACATGTTGGTGTGAACGTACGCGCCAAAAATACGGACATATGAGAATGTCCCTGCGTTCTTATAGATGCCGGCCGATTCGCCATGCACGGTCCAATTTGTGAACTCCTGTTCGGCATACTCCTTCGTAAACTTGGTTTGCAAATTGTTTACCTAGAGCATATCTTAGAATTCTATCGTTTCCCACGTGTGAGAGACGCACCATTGCTTCCACTCCCATGTAATTTAGGATATAATCCTACATAACTAAGGATATCAAAACAGACGTAACAACTATCTTGACTACTTGTACTCACCGCGTCGCCATCATAAATCACAGTTCGAACATCTGCATCAATGACGGTTTCAAGGAGGGGCCTCGAGTTTCTCATCCAATCGCCGGTTCCCAGGAAGTTTGCGTACACATCGAGATTGGTTTCTTGCCACGGACTCTCCGCACCAATTTGTTTCATGAACGTCGCGTCATTAAGGTAATTGGTAGGATCAGGTGTATAAGGATCAGAATTCTCTGAAAGAACATAGTAGACGTCGTAATTGCCTGATAACGGGCCAAGAATTTTGTTGTTACACCAGGTTTGCGCGTCGGCACATATGGCATCAGAACCATTCCTGTAACAAGCCGTGATCTGTACGCTCCTTTGAATATGGTGTGATTTGTAGCGTAGATATTCCCGTACTTACATTATCCTTACACCCGTAAGGCTGGTTCCAAAACGTGGTCGCCGCGCTCAATTCCACATCTGACACTAGGGGATGGTACCTAACAAGATATCTGGTGAGCAATGGTCCACAGTGTGGAAGACTAGAATGAAACCATACGGATTCGAAACAGCATAACGCATATATCCAGGATATTGCGACAGGGGATCCTGTCAGATTGTCATATTTACATATGATCGGAACTTCAAACGGCCTTGCTCACTGTCAAACCATCCCCCACACCAAGGAATTTCATATTAATGCGCATAGCATTCAATGTTCCGCTAGAAATTTTGGTATTCTGCTGTAGGAAATATCTGAAGAAGAGTCAGGCATATATATATGTAGTAGGCCTTCGAAGAGCTTGAACTTACGCGGCGAATGTAGGACCATAATGACCTCCGTATCTGAGACCACTTAAATTAACAAGTGAAAGCGCGAGCAATAATTTAAGACGCACGACTCTGTCCAGAGAGCAAAATCGCTTTGCTGATATTTGCTAAATTTCGAGTCTGTGAAAAAAATCTGGAGAAACTGGAAACCGGAATTAGAAGGATAGGTACGGTAAATACAGCAGCTCACTGTCCACATGTCCGCAGCGGCCTGTTCCGATGTACGGACATCCAGCTCGCCATGGGAAAATCCAACACCAACGGGTTGATCAATGTACAGCCTGGACAAACCTCAGCTTCTACACGCTGGAGTGTAGCAATGTACTCCACATATTAGATACATTGTTCCAAGAATATGGGTTAGAAACAACGCCACTACTATCACTGACTATGCGGCATGGCCCATGCTCCTGGAATAATCCAATCATGCTGGAGCTTCCGGGCTGCAAATGGTCAATCAGCTGTACATCGAAGATCACGAAGCAGAGCTCACGCCGCCATTCAGCCAGACGGTGAGAGGAGCTTGATCCGGGTTTACACGAGCTTCGAAGAACCAGAACCTGTGTGTGGTGAGAGAAAGATTACGCTAGGCTTTCAGAATACTGACCAAATGCTCTTCTTGTACGCTATGTCCCCATACCCTGACGCCTGATAGACACCAGGTGTAGTCTCGCATACGCCACTGTTCTCAACAACACGCAACTTCCCGGGCGAGGCGGTAATTTGCGAGATCTGTGGTATGGCCTTCCCGATCATAGCCCTATTATGGACAGCCGTCCCTCCCGGCACTCCATCCAAGACCGGCACTTGACCGCCGAGCGCGCGTAAAGCTAGGACAAGCAGCGTAGCCAGTGGGGTAGGGAGAAGCATGTCGAGGTGCGGCTGACGGTGGAAGTACTCTCTGCCAATATGGCGCGCATTGGATTTTTGACTGGTTGCTGTGTATGTAATTGATTATTGATTTGCTGATCTGAATACAACCTTGGTATGTTCAGCAAGGTCGAGACCAAAGGTTAGAAGACACGTACTTGATTTAGTGATCTTCTCTGATGAGCTCTGTTTCGGTGTCCCGGGCTTGATATGAATGAATGATCCCGGGCCTATCATATACCCTTACAAAACAGCTGACCTCTCACTCTCAATGCGTCGTCCATCATCGCAACTCATACTTCACACTTGCTCACTTTCATTGATATCGCGCGAAGCTCTTAGTCTGACTCACACTGTGCCGACCACATAACTGAGAAGGAATCCTGCGATGGTAGAATAGGAACTAGTCCACAAGAAACGACCCAAACACATAAATTAGGCAAAATTACGATCAAAACCTTCACTACTCCTCAATGGTTGCCTTCTTTAACATATCTTGCCAATCAAGAGCAAGCTTTGTTAACGTCTTACTCCGGGCTTATCGGCGCAGTTCATGCGTATCAGTGAGTGTCCCAATTATCAACGAAAAACCAACGTACCGAATACAGTGAGTACATCCTTCAGCAAATCTCGCTTAGATATGCCTAATAATACAGGCGACCAGACTTCATCACGGCCAGGACGCCTTTGATGACCGGTAAGTCAGAAAAGATATGTTTAGTAGGACTGCTCACCAGTATACCGGCCCAAAGAGCTCCTTAACCAATTCCTCGGCCTTTCCTCTGAAGCCTTCGTCTGCAATACGCTTTGCATATAATAAAAGAGCTTGCTTGTACTCTTGTGGACTTTCGAGAGTTTTCGCAGCATGTAGCTTAGTCTCTAGATGCCCAAGAGTCAAAGCAGTGTTCCACCATGTGGGCCGCTGCTTGTCTGCATTTACGTCGTCGCCCGTCATCCTTTCGCTGATGCTACTCTCTAACACACTAATGACTCCACGAGTAGTTGACTGATTGTTGGAGCGTTGTCGACCCTGCCATGCATCCGAACCCTTGGCCCACCAAGAATCGCCGAGCTTGACCCAAGCTGATAACGCAGAGTCCCACGATTGAGCAATACCAGTTGATAGATGGATTATAGGTGCGCCATTAGGGCGGACGGTAGCTGAAAGAATAGTTATATTGGGCGATGATCCAAGAAGGGGCAGCACTGAAGTCGGAGAGAACGTAGCACTTTGCTTTTTCACATTCCTGACGAAAATTGTCAGATGAGTGTCTGACAGTCTACAATCATACATACCAAACATGAAGGACACCTGAAGAAGTCAGCAGCATGAGAGAACTCTTGCACCCGTTCAATATTGAGCATGGCGATCCGATAGTCAATGTGGGCATTAGCCTAGTATCAGTATCTCAGCTCGTGATAGCCACCAACAGAGATGGAAAGACATCGTACCTCCGCCCTGTGTGTGAATAAACATTGACAGACCCATCCTGCATGGCAACAGCGCAGAAGACCGTCGTAGCTGTAATAGCCAAAACAGGTGATGGAAGATAGTCCAGCCACTGAGTTTGTTTCCCACTGACGAAGAGCACCTCGGTAGACCCTGAAAGTGATGTGAATATCAGCTAATGAATAATGGAAAGTCACACACCATCGCCTTCCGCATTGCGTCCTTCAAATACATCCTCACTGCCTTCGACTGTTGCTTTCAAGTATGTCAGGACTGGCGGAACTTGAAGTCTGCCTATCAGGCTCGACTGTTCATTCCACAATCCCAAGCTACTGTTGGCGCTAAATCCGGCGTTTCCTCCAGCGATCTCACGAACAGGCACACTCTCCCGTACACGATCACCACCAAGCGTCCGCGGTTTGCTGTTGACACGATCATCGACTAGATCAGCGGCTTTCCTCTTGCCTTTTCCAAGCGGCATACTCGTATCCAATGAGCTGATGGGCACATCTGTGTTCATGTCTATTGGAGACATGTTGAAGTCCTCATCCTCTACCGGATTCGTAAGGTCGCTTATATTCGCACCAAACGGCCTTGACGGCAAGCCGAATGGCTTAGCACTAGCGAGAGTCGACGCCGAGTGCGATGAAGGATGGCGATGATTGGCTATGGAAGCCGACAAAGGGGCCTCGCCTGAAGTGCGTGCTGTAGACATGCCCACGCTGCCGGAAGCGCTTGCAGCTGCACCTGAATCGGCAGTATCAACGCCCCCATTCGCAGCAGATGGCACTGTAGACCCAAGAGAACCAGTAAACGTTGGCTGTATGCGCTTTTTCGTCTTGCGCTTCGCGACGAGTTTATTGATATGTTCGCCACCACTAGTTCCATTGACAGTAGTGCCGAAGTCTGATTGAGCCTGAGACGCTGCACGGCCTGGAGATGGTGGGGGAGTCATACGAGAACTAGCAGGTTCTTCTGACATGTGTCGGACGGGCAGGTCGTGGGAATAACCCTCCGGCAAAGGAGGAGGAATAAACCCAAACTTTTTGAGGTATTGCTCTTGCGCCGATTTAGGTGCGATGCCTTCGAGTTCTTCTGGATCGAAATTGAAAACGGCCATCGTGCCATCAGATGACACGGCATAGAGGGTCAATCCATCATGAGACCTGTTCACGCGTTAAGAAGCCGAGCTGTAGCCAGAATGAATTACGCACCAGCTCAAATCCATTATTTGTCGATCAAAGACCTCTTTCGCAACAATGAGCGGTCTAGCTGATTTAGTCTGCCATACAGATACCGCCCGGTCATCTGCGCCCAATGCAACAACTGAGCATATGTTGGACGCGATGACTGATAGTGATGGATCTCGAAGGAAGATGTGCGGATTGTAAGCCTACGATAATTCATCAAGAAAGTTGCTTGGGGGCACATGAAAATATAACTCACCGCTACCTCAACTGTATTCTCGTGCCCTACGAGACTGATCTCCGAAGTCCATGTACTTCTTGCAATCACCGCCGCAATGAATACATAACCCTCGTTGTTCGTAGCGTTCGATGCCGTTATATGCGCGCCATCCGGTGACCAGCTGGAAAGTGAAAGAACACATGAACTGCAATGCTATAGACTAGCCGAAAAGGTGATGTTACCTGAGACGTCTGAAGAAAGTTCCCGGAGAGTGATCGAAGGGCTTTCTAACCTCTGCCTCCATTTGCCAGTCCGTTGTTCTCCAAATCCTGACAGACCGGTCGTCAGAGCCAGTAGCAAGAAATTCTCCAACTGGATCCCAGCAAACACCCTTAACAAATCCCTGATGTTGATCAATTCTGTGCAGACGCTCTACAGCGCAAATGACATCAAAATCGACTCGAAAGCGGAACATTTTATCACATACCGAGAGTGTAGCCACACCAAACTAACACCTGGGAATCCAATCCAACCGTTGCAAGGTATCTATCTCCTGGGGACCATCCCACATCTGTGACATCTAAGGTAAAATGAATACAACTGCATATGCTGTCGAACAAAAAGAATGAACATACCGCTATCGTGCCCAGGTAGCCTTTTCAATGGCTTCCAGCCTTCGACATTGACCTCGTCCGATCCCCATACCTTGCCCCTCGCCGTACTGCAGAATTAGACATACCACTTTGAGTATGAACAGTGCCACTCACTACTGCCAGACCAGGGAAACGGCATGAACCACTCACGGATCGAGGTCCCAGATCATGACAATCTGGTCATCACTCCCACTCGCCAACCATTTTCCCGAGTGTGCCCACCGTACCACTAGCACTGGACCCGTGTGCATCATAAGTGTACAGAGAGATTTTGGTGGTCGTCCGGAGACCTCAGAAGCATGATTCAATATTGGTTTCGTACTCCATATTCGCACTTTGGCATCAAGACCGCCGGTGGCAATGCGAGATCCATCAGGATGAACGTGTACCGAAAAAATGGACAGCCGCTTCTCTTGGTCGCCCTTCATAGAAGTATCTGCGCACACCCACATCAGTCCGGTCCCAAAAGGCTGAACAAAGATTTCACCTTTGTGCATCACCCATGCCGGTTTTGTGAATCGCATAGCCGGCAGCTATCTTGAATGTAACAGACACAACGACCAGGAAGCTTGCTGGGCCCGTACTAGATGAAAAATTGTGCTGTAGCAAGGTGCCAATGTACAACCCACACTTGGTGGCAATTTAGGAGCTCAGAGTGTACGATATGAGTAGCAAAGTGTTAAGGTGCAAAGCTAAGTTTTCAGTAGGCGTTGCCCTATAGTAAGAGTATAGGAAACCTCCAGCAGGCTCCGGAAGACCAGAACAGGGTGCGGAAATAGACTTCAAGTTGTTTGAATCTGGCGCCCGTCCGCTCAGAGGAAACCGCCCGCGATCGCACTCGGGCGCCTTTTCGATCACACCACTGAATCATTTCATGTAGTATGGTCATGGGTTCACCGAGCGCAGAGAGGTCTCTCCACGGGCATAATTCAGTATCCATTTTGTCACCTTAGAATGGAAATTGAATACATAGTGTCATGGGATTTGCTGTGCTTTTGCCTTAGCCTACCCATAACCGCGAACGCAATTTCGCGTCGGTCTCCTTCATATCCACGATTCATCATTATGACATAGTACACAGTTGTTTTGGGGGGATGATGGATTGGTTTCGTGATATTTCTCGTTTCTCCTATGTTGCCTTTATAACAAACTCCTCATTCTCCCTCATGTACAGTTTTGTACAGCATCAGACTCGACGGTATGTGCCCGGTTCGTTCAGACGAAGACAACGCCCGTAGCTGTCACACTGACTTCACAAAGACCGAATTGTGAAGTCAGTACGCCAACGTTTCACGCGAAGAAATATATGCAGCATTAATCTACCAAACATAATGGTTCATTTAAAATACATTCCCGACCAACACGAGCAGTGCCCGCCGTTCAGCAGTATCCATATCGCGCGAGGTCTAGCGCCAGCTGTTCAACATTCAAATGTCCTTAGCCACGTGTATCGGGTTGATGTCCTTGACCTCTATTGTCGCTGACGGGTATAAAAGAACCCAATTCCGAGAGAAATACATTCAACAAATGCACGAGAATCTCAACTTAAATAGACATACACCTTCAGCTTCATCATGAGTTTGTACGGTTATGAGGAACATAGTGTGCATGACCGACAGCCAAGGCGTCCCGTCCGGATCAGTCAGATCTTTTGCCGAAGAGTGAAGAAGAACCAGCTTCAGGGCTGGGTAGATTACTGATTTAGTACAAAGCTACAGGCTCCAACTAGCGGCCGCGCAGTCTATGCGGCTCATCGCTCTACACATAGCCAGAACACACCGTTGCTTAACTGGCCGAGAGGTAGATCTTTCTAAGCTGGAGTGGAACCGCTGCCCTACGGCAGACTGGGCAACTTCGCTTAAATGCGAGAGCCTGATGGATGCACCTATGTACACAAGTCAGCTCTCAGAAGCTCCCGACGATGGTGTAATGGAGACTCACTCAGTACAGAATAGATGCCCGCATCGAGTCGCACTTGTGTCTGTCGGGATCTCGAGACATAAGGAGCAAGTGAACACAAGTGATGAAGACACTTGAACATCGTCTTCTGCGGAGATACTGCGCTCACGGTCAGAAGACTGTTGAATATTAAATTAATCCTCAAGTATGATATTGAGTCGAAGGGTGCTTACGCGGTCATCAAGACGTCCTCGCATTACAGATGATGACGCTGCCGCGATCGAGGCGAAGCCGTCATAGTTTGTGTCCTCAACATCGTCCAGAAAATCTTCATCCCAATATTCATCTTCCTCGTCGTACCCATCATCTGACACTTCTGTTTCATACTCACTCACGTCGAGATCGTCATCGGCGCGCTCGCTCTCCTCGGGATAGATCATGCTTCCCATCGTATCCTCCCAGCCAGACTCGTGCTCGAACTCTTCATCGTCGCCCGGAGCATAGTCTTCGAGGTCATCATCATCAGAGTCATCACGATGAACAGACGCGAAATCAATGTGCTGTCGAAGGAACACGACATCAGTATCGGTGCACCGTCTTTGTACACAATGTGCCAACGTACCACGCGGAGACCGGCCGCAGTGTTAAATTCTCTTTCGCACACAGCACAATAGTGATGTCGAAGTGAAGTAACCAGGTGCTGTATAAAAACTCAGTGACTGATAGACAACTTAAAGTATATGTCCATACGTTTCTAAGCGTGTTCTTATTCGCGAACCGGCGATTGCATGGCTCGCATAGCGGGTGGTTCGAAGAAACTTGTACGTGCTGAGCACGAGCCTCTTCGCCCGGGAAGTACCTGTCGCACAACGAGCAGTAGAGCATACTGGCGTAGAGCACATCCGTCATTGCTGGCAGCTTCACGTATGCAGAGACAGTGTAGCAGTAAAGTGAGGTGAGGTGAAGCAAATCCGTCAAGAAAAATGTGAACCAGCCAACAACATCATCCTTTATACCTTTGTCCCCATTTCTGAGTTGCCATATCCGAACCTGAGTACATGGAGTTGAAGCGATCTGTCATCCGAAAATCCTACATCCGAGAAGCGAAAAATGCGTCATCCCTAGTCGAATTTACAACCAGTGCGGCTGGAAACAGTCATATGAGCAACGAGTCCGGTCGGCATTGTCACGGTGGCAAAATTCAACTACATACCATAAATTGACAAATAGCCGAACGGGTTGTTATATCTTGGTCCAACATGAATCCAAAATCATTTAAAAATGAGTGTTAGGTCAAAATGCAGCAAAACATAGACCAAGCGGGGACTGTCAATCTGATTTGAAAAATGTTGAAGAGCAATCTCATGTGGTCCAGGTCCAAACGCGACATTCCCGACCGGTCTGAAGACATGTTATTCAGCAAAACATGGTTTACCCACCAAAGGGTGTAGCGTCCCATGCGCGACCGTACAGGATCGTTTCCCATAGGCAGATTGCTTAATAAATACCTTGAAAGATGGAAAGGATAGTCTCTACATACTCATAAGGAGAATCATTCTGGAACGCTGTGCACTAACTATGTCGGCAGCTCACCACCATCACGAGTCTCAGCATTCGCTCAGTTTCACGTTATGCACGACGCAGAATAATACAGGCTTATCTTGAGTCTGATCTTTATCTTCCTGGAATCCCTTACAGACGCTATAGGAAGACTTAAGAGACAGTGGTGGGATGAGATTGGGGCCAAGAACGGTTGCAAGACACAGTCCGGTCAACCCTAACCCGAGGACTGAACCGCCAGCGCTGCAACCAAGCATACGACAACTGTCGGACTCGTTTCTTGTATCTGCTTGCATTATTGACGGCTGGGAGTATGCACATGGAGCAAACCACAGTCACCGCGGTTGTGGCAGGTGATGGAGGTCCGTGCGCCAGGGGTGGCCAGGCGTGCCCAAGCTATCTAAGCAGCGCATTTCCAAGCGGACTTTGAAGCCAGCACCAGTATATAACGCGTCAACTGCCACCACCCATTGCAGACGCGAACTTTATTTTCCTTCCCGCACCCTTCACCCACTAACAACCGCGACATGTCTGACGACGAAGGTGGAAGGAAGACGGGTTACCGCCTGGAGTACTCTTCTAGCAGCAAGGCAAAGTGTAATGGTACGTCGTCAATGTCCATGATTGAGCTAGTTTTGGCTCGTTGCTGATCGCGTTTGTCGCGTCCCTTTCGCGTTCGTAGGACCCAAGCCATGTAAGGGTACGTGGTCATATGTGATCTTGATTTTTATGCGAGCTAGAATTTGTTTACAGGTACTAAAATCGAGAAAGAGGAGCTTCGCTTCGGAACTCTTGTTGATATCAAAGGGAACACGTCATTGTATGTGCTATTCCTTGATTGCGCCGTCCAGAGTTGTTTCATGTCCATATGATTCTTGTCTAATCATCCTTTGCTGACCGTCGGGCCTCCTAACTCCCCAGCTCCTGGCGTCACTGGGGCTGTGTAACACGCCAAATTATTGTAAACGCGAAAAAGTCATTCGACGACGCGGAAGACTTGGACGGGTTTGAAGAATTAACAGAGGAAGATCAGGAAAAGATTCGCAAAGCTTGGGCAGAGGGACAGGTCGCCGACGAGGATATCCCAGATTCTGCACGCAAACCTGAAGGGGAGGACGCAGAAGATGACGAAGATGAGGGAAGACCAAAGAAAAAGAAAGCGAGCGCAAAAGCAAAGAAGGATGCGGAGGATGACTCTCCCAAGAAGGGCGTCTTCAAACTCGAATACGCCTCATCCGGCCGCGCCAAGTGCAAGAGTACGTTTTCTTCTACTATTCCATATTGTCGATATTCATATTTACCTCATGTTTTTTTAGCTTGTGGAGGTTGGTAGACATGCTATATGATCATGGATTATATGATACTGACGATGTATCGCTGCAGCGAGTGTCGGTAAAGACTTCTTCAGGCTCGGAAACGAGGTTGACTTTCGTGGTAACAAGTCCCTGTACGTGTACCATCTATTATTTGCTCTTATGGTCCCTAATAAAGACCGCATACATAGTGCTTGGCGACATTGGGGCTGCGCAGATGCTAAGTCAATTGCTAGTATGAAATTGTCGTACAGCGAACCCTCTGAGATCGAAGGTTTCAATATTCTGAAGTCCGCTGAGCAGGAGAAGGTGCAGCGAGCTTGGGATAATGGCGCAATCCCTGAGGAAGACCGCGGACCCGGTGAGGCGGTGGATACCGGCAAGAAAGCGCCAGTAAAAAGAAAGAAGAAGGATGAGGACGGCAACGCGGATGAGAAGCCAAAGAAGACTCGCGGAAGGAAGCCAAAGGTCTGTAGCGTATTATTTGTTGTTATAAGATCGAACGTGCTAAGCAAGAGGACGTTGTATAGCCAAAAGATGAAGATGAAGAGGATGAGGAAGAGGAGGAGAAACCTAAGCGGAAGCGTGCTCCGACCGCGAAGAAGGATGTAACTGAAAAGAAGGCTAAAGGCCCTGCTAGGAAGCGGGTGCCCAAGAAGAACGAAGACGAGGAGTCCGGTGAGGATTTTGGCGACGACATGGCCGCTGTTAGCGGTGACGAGGACGAGGATGAGGAGATGCAAGAGGAGCCTGCCACCAAAAAGCGGAAGGTATGTTATTGCATCTTCGATTGCTAGGATACATGTCTCATGGTTTTGCTGATTGTCCAGCGTGCACCTACCTCGAAGGCATCTTCAAAACCTGTGTCTAAGCGAGCCAAGCCTGCGTCGAGCCGTAGCAAGAAGAGGGAAGAAATTGCTGAGGAATCCGAGCTCGAGGAGGACGATTAAAGACACAGACTTTAGGCTTCGCCCTATTCATTGCCCGCCACAGACACTCAACCTCCCTCTGAAGTCATCTGGTCCTTGCAAGATTCGTATATTTTGAGCTGTACATGATGTTTGTAATGCGTAATATTTATGTGTTGTCGCATTTATTTCTCTTTGTAACAACTGTCGGTACCACAATTCAATGATCTCCACAAAATCGACGCTGCCGCGATGACTCGGGGGTCTTGAAGGTGCGTTGATAAGCTCTTGCGCAGTTGATCGGTCCATTCGCACATATGTTTTTGCAACCGCATGATGGTGAATTATCCTGTGCCTATTCATGCCCGCTGCAATACTCGCACGTCATGATCACTGCTGCGTTTACGGCATCTGTCTGTGTCTTCACATACCACAGAGCTGAAATGGCAGGTAATGCCGAGACTGTTTTTGATCAACCATGAGCTCTACATAAACTGACGATGTCGATTCTAAATATCCCCGCCTCGTTCCGAGTACTGACTCCGCGCCATGCGATACCCCAGGCTGCTGCATAAGGCCCTTGAGGACCATTTATCAATGGTGGCCTGGTTCAGGCCCATCACTCTCATAATTAATGTACCAGAAACACTTCTGGCTTTAACCGCCGCTATCATATCAGAATTATCTTGAGCTTTGGCGTTCCTCTTGTATTCCTTGCCCTTGCTGGAATATGGGTGTTATTGTTTTTGAAGGGCTTCGTCGAGATCCCTGATCTGTCGTTACTGGCCCTGGCTAAGGAGTCGAGACTATCACCTCTCTACTCCAGATTCCATCAGCACGAGCTGCATCTGCCCCAGCGCAGCCTGATCCAGACACCGACTGATGGGGTACAAGTAAAGCACTTATGGCTTGCGAATTATATGCGAGGTGCGGTGACTGCCACTT